GAGAGAGAGAGAGAGAGAGAGAGAGAGAGAGAGAGAGAGAGAGAGAGAGAGAGAGAGAGAGAGAGAGAGAGAGAGAGAGTCTGCTCCTCCCTCTCCTCCTCCTCCGTTTCCCCCTAATCCAGATCCCGATTAATTTCTCTTACTTTCCCTTCTCTCCCTCCTTTTACTCCTAATCCCCATCCCGATTCTCCTACTCCCCCACCTCCCCCACCTCCCCCTCCTCCCGATTCTTCTCTTCCTCGCTCTCTGTCCCCTCCTCCCGATTCTTCTCTTCCTCCCTCTCCTTCCCCTCCTCCCTATTCTTCTCTTCCTCCCTCTCCTTCCCCTCCTCCCGCTCCTTTTCCCCGTAATCCCAATCCGGATTTCCTATTTCCTCTTCTCCCCCTCCTTTTCCCCCTAATCTCGATCCCGATTCTCCTACTCCCCTTCGTCCCCCTCGTGTCCCTCCTCCCGATTCTGCTCCTCTTCCCTCTTCTCCTCCTCCCCCTCCTTTTCCCCCTAATCGCGATCCGGTTCTCCTACTTCCCCTCCTCATCCTCCTTTTACCCCTAATCCCCATCCCGATTCTCCTACTCCCCCACCTCCACCTCCTCCCAATTCTGCTCTTCCTCCACCCACTCCCCCTACTCCCCCTCCGTTTCCCCCCATTCCCGATTCTGCTCCTCCCCTTACTCCCCCTCCTACCCCTCCATTTCCTAGTAATCCCGATCCCTATTTCCGACTTCCTCTACTCCCCTTCCTTTTCGCCTAATCCCGATCCCGATTCTCCTACTCCCCCTACTCCCTCTTCGTTCCCCCTCATTCCCGAGTCTGGTAACGTCTGGACCGTCTATGATATCAGAAAAACAGCAATGTAAAATAGTGTGTGATGATCGTTAGCAACAGATAGGGCAAAAAAAAAAAAAAAAAAAAAAAAAAAAAAAAAAGCAACAGACAGGGCACGTGGCATGCTGAACAGCGTCCCAGCCATCACAGTGTGACCGCGCTTGCTCCTCTTCTTCTCTCCTTTCCTCCTCTTCCACTTTCTTCTCACCATCTCCTCCAATGAAACTCATCATCCCATGATGACCTGCATGTCGTTACCCAGGAGGGGGAGCAATCAGTGCTGTTGCTCTGTGTCCCTTGATCATAACGAAGGGACGCGTAGACTGGCTCCTCGATGTAAGGGAGGGTGGACCTGGAAAATTACCTTACTTATTTTCATAAAAGTGGCCT